CTTTAAAAATATGTAAATTAGTAATCTTTCTGTGTAAGTTGTTGCAATTTGACATCATCATAATGTGCCCTGCCAACTGGTGTAGGCGCTCATACGTCTCCACATATCACGATCCCTGGTTGCCTGGAAAAGCTCTCTTGATGATATTCCTCCTTGCAATCGTTTGACCCCATCCAGCATCATCTCTCTTGATTTTTCCTCTGATATCTCCAGTTGTCACGATGTTCTCCAATGTCTCTCTTCTCATTATGTGGCCAAAGAACAGTGTTTGTCTCTTTCTTATTGTTGTATATAGAGATCTACTTTCATTAGCTTCTTTCAAGCCATAGCTTTTAGTTACTCTGGCCGTCGAAGGTATTCGTAACATTCGTCTCAGAAACCACATCTCTGTTGCTTCCAACCTCTTCCTAATTTGTTCACTGACATTCCAAGATTCGCTGCCATATAATTTGACATATATTATATTTTTAAAGGTACACGAATTACAGTAGAACCTCGCTTAACGAGCACCTCTCATAACGAGTAATTCGCATAACAAGCAAAACTAATTTTAAAAGAATGACTTGCTTAACAAGCAAAGTCTCGCATAACGAGGGGCGAGGAGAGGGGAAGTCCCCGATCGTGCGCATGTTACATCAGTCTGTGTTTAGCACTCGTTCCAGTAGCATCGTAGTATCGCTTGTGATCACACATTTTCTCAAACTTGTGTTATATTGTGATATATGTACATGAATCCTCCAGGCCTACAAGATGACCTCCCTGAAGAATTTAGGTTCATCAAAATCAAGTTTCTGCCTCCCGAGACCACTCTGTTACCACGACCATGGACCAGCAAGTTATATCTAACTTTAAGAAGCTCTACACTAAAGCACTCTTCGAGCATTGTTTTTAGGTGACTGAAGGGACCAACCTCACCCTCAAAGAGTTTTGGAAAAATCACTTCCACATCGTTGCCTGCCTCAAGATGAACGACAAGGCGGGGGTTACCATGAGAGACCTAACTTCTGCTTGATAGAAGCTTTGGCTGGAGAGCGTTGTCGATTTGTGACTTTGAGGGGTTCGAGACAGTACCTGTGGAACCTGTAGTCAACGAGATTGTGTCTTTGGCCACTATCATGGGATTGTAGGAGGATAACAGTGACATCGAAGAGCTTGTGGAAGAGCACAGCCAAGAGCTGACCACCCAAGAGCTTATGGAGTTGCATTGTGTTTCACAGCAAGACGTTTTGGAGGAAAGTTTCTCAGAGGAGGAGGTGGAGGTAACAGAAAAACAACAATCTTCTGGCGAAACAGGAGAAATGCTGAAAGCATGGCAAACTGTTGCATCTTACATTGAGAAGCATCACCCAAAAAAAGGAAGTGGCTATGCGCGCTGCAAATTTTTTTAATAGTAATGCTGTGTCCCATTTTCGGCCAAATTTTGAAACCTCGGCAAAAACAAATGTCTCTGGCATCTTTCTAGTAAAAAAAAAAAAAAAAAAAGTAACTATGTATCATAATTAGACTTTTTGTTTTGTTTTCTGCAAATCGATTTCGCATTCCAGGTGGGTTCGTTCCACGTTTGAAGAAAAGAGGAAGATGATTTACTCTCTCTAACAAATTGCATATAATTTTTTTTTTTTATAAACGTTATGCACAGCAATTTGTGGGAATTCTTGTCGACATGCAACGCATTATCGTATTTTACATTAATTTATATGTGAAACATTGTTTTGCATAACGAGTGTTTCGCTTAACGAGTATGATTCTGCAACGAATTATGCTCGTTAAGCGAGGTTCCACTGTATTAGTAAAACAAAGATTTAAAAAAGTTAATGCTTTAAGAAAACAGCAGCGCCTGTGTAACTGTAACTAATATAATCATAAGGACAGGGGAACTCTTAAGGGGTCACTACACCAAAAAATTTTATTTTTTTATTTACAGACTTAGAGCAGCTATTTTATAATGGTCATTTGTAATGATACATGTTATTACATTTGTATACTTTAAGTGTTTAAAAATCATAGTTGTCATGGCAATAGCCGCCATCTTGTGAAAAAAACCATAGATACTTAGAATCCTAAAATTTTAGAAACAAACATAAATATTCAACAATAGAGGATGGATCCATGACCTTTTATCCTATTTAGAGGTACAGGTCTAGTTTATTAACTTTAAACATGTTTTAAAATATTTTTCGTAGAATATTAAAATGTAGGTTTATTTAAAAAGTCAAAAAAATCTAGCATCATAAGACAATAATCAAATTTTAGAAACAAAAACTTTCTAAAATCTACTTTTAGATAGACCAGTCCTTATAATATTGTTTATGGAGTATGCATACAAGATTTCATGTTTCTACTCTCTATATTAGCTTAGATTTTAGGATTTCACACACACAGCAAACTGAAATATAGAGATGTGAGAAAACTTACTTTTAAACTTTTTTTTATCTTAAAAAAGTGCACAAGGTGGTGTCGTTAGTATTAACTTTTTAATGCTAAATTGTTTACAAATGACATACATTTTTTGTGTCATCTATTGTACGAATGCCGAACTTTACAAAAACGAACACATTGAAAAAGTGATATTTTTGTCATAAACTGGGAAAAATGCCGTGTAGTGACCACAAACAACAGCTCGTGTTGAACAGTACAGGAGTTTTCGAAATATTTAGTTTGAGGTCTCTACTTTTGGAACACACTATAGTGTCCGTTTTATATTATCTGCGATCGTTGAGTCGATCAGCAAGACGTGATAGGGTGGATGGCAGGGACTATCTAATACTTCTTCTTCTTCTTCTTTGCATTCACCAGCTGTAAACTCTGGCAGAAAGTTCTGGTTGTTCATCCACTTCTGGACTGCAGTCCTATTCCAGAACCTGAGTGTTGCGTGTGCATCTGTTTTACAGATCTGATTTATTTGTATACAGACTGCTGGTTCCTTGCCTCTCAGGCAGATGCACTCCGATTTCAAAGGAAGCTCCCAATTAGTCGACTCTTACGACATGCTTTTGGGTAGGTAGTGGGTCTGTTCTTGTTTTCCCTAATGAAAAGTAGCCCCTGAGACTAGAGCAGTTGCCCGCCCGTGGTATCTACCATTTGGTGTACTGTAAATGTTAGGAGCGGCTGACCGAACGGTGAGATCCCTGGGATTTCAAGAGAATCCTCGGTAAAGCTACGTTTTTTTTTCCTGTCGGAGGTATAATTAAATCCTCACCTGCACAGTTGTAACGACAGGACTAACCGTGCGACCGTGTATCCTTAGGTTCAAAGAACCCCCTCCCCGCCACCCACTCCCCTCCCCACCACCCACCCCGGGCCACCCCCCTGGGCCACCCACCCCCTCGCACCCCCACCCCCCCCCCGGCCACCCCCCCCCCCCTACACATGCCTACACCGCAAAAGTAGTAAACTAAAGGCAGTAATTTGTAGGTTTTTTCGCTCTGTGAATGGTGTCTGCAAAATCGCACCAGTCGTCTGTACTTCCCTGGACATTTCTTGGCACTAAATTCAAAACTAGGTCGACTAGAGAGCCGAGATTATTATTATTATTATTATTATTATTATTATTATTATTATTATTATTATTATTATTACTATTATTAAATATCATTGATGGAGATTCGAACTCACCACCACAGGACTAGCAGACAAGTGTGTTGGTCATTGCACCAGCACTGCTCCTGACAGGGACGCCGCAAAAGAGAAATTTGTGGGAGCGGAGCGGGTGGCTCAGCACTCCTTATAGTTGTCAAAGAATCAGAGGGGCTTACAGGGGCTTAAGCCTTGCTTAAGTGAAGGGCCCTTTCCCACACCTGCAGGCGTACTGGGCATATAGGGCTAGAATTGTATTTTATTGACCTCGGTGGGTGAGGGGGTCAATATCTCGCCGGCTGCCTTTACTTCCTAGAACCTTATCCGATACCCGCTTAAGGCAGGGTCGACCTGGGAGCTAAGGTGATTTTCACAAAAACGTCCGGCTCCGTAAGGATCTGAACCCACGACTGACCGATCCGCAGTCGAACGTCTGGCCGCGATACCATGGCGGTACCTTTGGTTAAGTGCGCAATAATAAATAATAATATTTCTTCTGGTATTGTATGTGCTGAATAAATAAATAAATTGCCTTGAAAAGAACGTGGAACATAAACACAATTTCAGTCCCACCAGGGATATGCGTTTAGTATAAGTTCAGGTTTCGCCGTGTGGGTTCATGGCTTCTATTATAGCCAAAATAAGAATAGACTCACTGCCTCCTCAATAAGTATGTCGTAAGATTCGACTAATTGCGGATGGGGGCTTACTTCGAGGTCAGTGTGTATCTGACTCAGAGGTAAAGCAATAACAATCTGCATACAAATAAATCAGATATGTAAACATGGATGTACGCGTAACACGCAAGTTCTGGAACGAGACTGAAGTCCAGAGATGGACGAACCGCCAAGACTTTGCGCTGGAGTTACAACCAGTGAACACGAAGAAGAAGGAGAGTTTCCTGTTAAAACTAATTTGTTTAACGCGAATTCTGTTTTATTCGTGCAATCGAGGTGCCACTGTATTTAAAATAATATGAAATGTATAAACATGTACTTAAATAAGAGAAGGCCTACACGTCTTTAAAAGGGGGAGTGGAGAGACAACACTCCTTGCAAATTTTGTAAGAACGGAACGGGCAGGCTTAATACCCCCCGACCCCTATTTTCCCCCAAACGGTAGGTAAGTAGGTCCTTTGTCGAAGACAAAAATCGTCACGTTCAACTAGCATCTCAGTTATAATTGTGACCAGCTTATTTGCGCCATATAAAATGGCTATTAGCATTGCTGCCATCAAGAGCTCTGAAAAGCATTCTTGCAGTGATAATACCTTCAAAGAAGAGAGATCAAAAACTTTCCCGACTGGCGACTAAGTCGTTCATTGACCAGAAAATTGAAAACCCGGTCGCTTCCCCCCCCCCCCCCTCACACACACAACCCACTCTTAGATAGTAGGGAGGAGGGTGTGTCTCAGCGTACCTAACCTACCCATTGTGCCCCGCCCTTAACTCTCGATCTCTCGCCCCTGGCTCTCTATCCCTAGCCTCTGGCTCTCGATCCCTAGCCTCTGGCTCTCGATCCTTCGACCCTGGCTCTCTATCCCTCGCCCCTGGCTCTCGATCCCTAGCTCCTGGCTCTCTATCCCTAGCCTCTGGCTCTCGATCCCTCGCCCCTGGCTCTCGATCCCTCGCCCCTGGCTCTCGATCCCTAGCTCCTGGCTCTCGATCCCTAGCTCCTGGCTCTCGATCCCTAGCTCCTGGCTCTCGATCCCTAGCTCCTGGCTCTCGATCCCTAGCTCCTGGCTCTCGATCCCTAGCTCCTGGCTCTCGATCCCTAGCCCCTGGCTCTCGATCCCTAGCTCCTGGCTCTCAATCCCTCGCCCCTGACTCTCAATCCCTCGCCCCCTGACTCTCAATCCCTCCCCCCCCCTGACTCTCAATCCCTTGGCCCTGGCTCTCAATCCCTCGACACTGGCTCTCAATCCCTCGCCCCTGGCTCTCAATCCCTTGACCCTGGCTCTCAATCCCTCGCCCCTGGCTCTCGATGCCTCGCCCGTGGCTCTCAATCTCTCGACCCTGGCTTTCGATCCTGAAAATAAAAAACCTGCATGAACATAATTCACTAACACACTTCAGTATGAGGAAAAAAACGATATTTGGGTCAGTAATTTGTCTCATTAAGTAATTTGGACACATTTATCACGTATCCTTCTAGTGAATAGATGGATATACAGATGTATATTTGAATAAATAATTAGGGAAAATAATCATACGTGGCAAATAATGGGAGAGGGGAAAAGAAAACACGATCATTTATTGACAAAAAAAAAAAAATGAGTAGCAGGGACATTTGATGGAAGCTACAGAAAATGTGAATAATGTGTGTCAGATGAACACTGCATGTACGGTTCGTTGAGAGAAGAAACGGGTATAACATATTATATCAGAATATAATTTTAAAATTTAAAAAAAAAATGCAATCAATCTGGTACTGTGTCCACATGAAGGTTGACCACAATTGTTCACCAACCCGCTCTGTCTTTTGCTCTGGACGTATACTCTCTCGGTAGCTGTAGCAACGTTAGTAGCAGTAGTTGTAGAGGTTTAGTATTAGTTGTATCAGTGTTAGTAGCAGTAGTTGTAGAGGTTTAGTAATAGTTGTATCAGTGTTAGTAGCAGTAGTTGTAGAGGTTTAGTAATAGTTGTATCAGTGTTAGTAGCAGTAGTTGTAGAGGTTTAGTAATAGTTGTATCAGTGTTAGTAGCAGTAGTTGTAGAGGTTTAGTAATAGTTGTATCAGTGTTAGTAGCAGTAGTTGTAGAGGTTTAGTAATAGTTGTATCAGTGTTAGTAGCAGTAGTTGTAGAGGTTTAGTAATAGTTGTATCAGTGTTAGTAGCAGTAGTTGTAGAGGTTTAGTAATAGTTTTATCAGTGTTAGTAGCAGTAGTTGTAGAGGTTTAGTAATAGTTGTATCAGTGTTAGTAGCAGTAGTTGTAGAGGTTTAGTAATAGTTGTATCAGTGTTAGTAGCAGTAGTTAAAGAGGTTTAGTAATAGTTCTATCAGTGTTAGTAGCAGTAGTTGTAGCAGTATTAGTAATAGTTGTACCAGTGTTAGTAGCTGTAGTTGTAGCAGTATTAGTAATAGTTGTATCAGTGTTAGTAGCAGTAGTTGTAGCAGTATTAGTAATAGTTGTATCAGTGTTAGTAGCAGTAGTTGTAGCAGTATTAGTAATAGTTGTACCAGTGTTTAGAGCAGTAGTTGTAGCAGTATTGGTAATAGTTGTATCAGTGTACGTAGCAGTAGTTGTAGCAGTATTAGTAATAGTTGTACCAGTGTTCGGAGCAGTAGTTGTAGCATTATTAGTAATAGTTGTACCAGTGTTTAGAGCAGTAGTTGTAGCAGTATTAGTAATAGTTGTACCAGTGTTAGTAGCAGTAGTTGTAGCAGTATTAGTAATAGTTGTATCAGTGTATGTAGAAGTATTAGTAATAGTTGTACCAGTGTTCATAGCAGTAGTTGTAGCAGTATTAGTAATAGTTGTTCCAGTGTTCGGAGCAGTAGTTGTAGCAGTATTAGTAATAGTTGTTCCAGTGTTCGGAGCAGTAGTTGTAGCAGTATTAGTAATAGTTGTATCAGTGTACGTAGCAGTAGTTGTAGCAGTATTAGTAATAGTTGTACCAGTGTTCATAGCAGTAGTTGTAGCAGTATTGGTAATAGTTGTTCCAGTGTTCGGAGCAGTAGTTGTAGCGGTATTAGTAATAGTTGTTCCAGTGTTCGGAGCAGTAGTTGTAGCAGTATTAGTAATAGTTGTACCAGTGTTAGTAGCAGTAGTTGTAGCAGTATTAGTAATAGTTGTACCAGTGTTTTGCACCCATATATATTTTACAGGTATGGTTTATTCGTAAGCAGAATGTTGATTCATCGCCTCCGGAGATACCGGGCTAGGTTTTCATGTGTCCGCTTCACTCTGCCTCAGGAGAGGAAAAATAACAAGGACTTTCTGACGAAGTGTAAAGTCGGTGATCGCTAAGTAGGAAACTTTAAAGCGAACGTGAATAGAAGAAGCCAAAAGTACTGGGCTGGATTCTATCCATGATATCCAAGTGATTACGCAGGATAGACTGGAATGAAAGAGAAGACTGATAGCGCTATGTTACATACAATGTCACCACAGGAACACGAATCAATGAAAGAATGAATGAATAAATAAATAAAAGAATAAATGAATGAATTAACGAACAAAAAAATTAATGAATGGATGAACGAATGAATGAATGAGTGAATAAATAAATGCATGAAAGAATGAATGAATTAATAAATGAATGAACGAATAAATGAATCAGTAAATGAATGAATGAATGAATGAACGAACGAGTGCATAAATAAATAAACGAATGAATGATTTAATGAATGAATGAATGAGTGAATCAATGAATGAACAAAGGAATGAAAGAATCAATCAATAAATAAATTAATAAATGAATGAATGAATGAACAAATGAATGAATGAATGAATGAATGAATGAATGAATGAATGAATGAATGAATGAATGAATGAATGAATGAATGAATGAATGAATGAATGAATGAATGAATGAATGAATGAATGAATGAATGAATGAACGAACGAATCAATGAATGAATGAATGAACGAACGAACGAAGGAATGAATGGATAAATGAATGAATGGATGAACGATTGAATGAATGAAGGAATAAATGGATAAACGAATGAATGGATGAACGATTAAAAAAATGAACGGTAGGAGGAAGAAAGCGACACTGTCCACTCAAGCTGGACACATCATCTTTACATAAATACAATCACAGTCAAGTGAGCCGAGTAACAGCTCTTCTGTCCCAGACATTCCATGACGGCGAATAAATGTAACTCGTACTTTAAAGCGGGTGCTTAGTCTTCCGTTGTGACAGTTTGCCCCTGACCAATGTTGGTTTAGATGTCCCAAAAACTTTCACAAAATGTGGCTGAAAAATCGTAAATCTGTTTTCCTGAAGTGCGGCTTCTTACCCGTGTGGCCGTCACCGCCTGCAAACTCAGGGGGAAAGTACTGGTTGATCGTCCACGTCAGGACTTTGGTCTTGTTCCATGACTTAAGTTTTGCGTGCACATCCGTTTACAGACCTGGCTTATTTGTATGCGGAATGTTTGATTTCTCGTCTCCAAGGCCGATGTACTTTCTTTTTCTTCTTTTTCTTCGCGTTCATCGGATATAAACTTCTGGTTGTTTGTCCGCCTCTGGACTTTAGTCTTGTTCCAAAACTCGACTTTTGCGTGCACACCCGTTTTACAGATCTGGCTTATTTGTATGCAAACAGTTGGTTTCCCGTCTCCCAGGCAGATGTATCTTGACTTTAAACGAAGCAACCCCAAATAGTCACCTCTTACTGTGAGCGTTTTACAGGGGCGGGGAGTCTGTTTTGATTGTCCCCAAAATGAGGCCTCCGAACTGCTCTGGAAAAAGCGCAGGAAGGAAGGCGGGCAGTCGGTGCAACCTAGCTTACGACAGCTGAAGGGTCCTGGGTCGAAGCCCTTGGAGCATTCAGACATATGATGTTGGGCCAGGAGTTTTCATTATTGCTGCCAGGGATTTCATAGAAGAATGGTGAGCACAGACACAAAGTGTAATGAGGACTCCCTGTTCGCGCGTGTGTGTGTGTGTGGGGGGGGGGGAAGGGACAGGGTAGTGTGTGTGTGGGGGGGGGGGGGTAGTGTGTATGGAAGGGGAAGGGTAGTGTGTGTGTGGGGGGGGGGGAAGTAGTAGTGTGTGTGTGGAAGGGGAAGGGTAGTGTGTGTGTGTGGGGGGGGAGGGGGGCGGTAGTGTGTGTGTGGAAGGGGAAGGGTAGTGTGTGTGTGTGGGGGGGGGGGGGCGGTAGTGTGTGTGTGGAAGGGGGGGGGGGGGGGGTGGGTGTGTGGGGGGGGGGGAGGGGGGGGGGTTGTGTGGGTGGGGGGGGGGGGGGGGGGGGGGGGGTGTGTGTGTGGGGGGGGGGGGTAGTGGGTGTGTGGGGGGGGGGGGGGGGGGTAGTGTGGGTGTGTGGGGGGGGGAAGGGGGGTATGTGGGGTGTGGGTGGGGGGGGGGGAGGGGGGGGGGGTGTGTGTGTGTGTGTGTGTGTGTGTAGGGAGAGTAGGATAGACCCCCACTGTCCCTTAACAAGCATGTCCTACAAAGCAAACAATTAAGGCTTTATTAAACGTGATGATTTGGGCAAATACATGGCAAAATCCAAACAGGGGGGGGGGGGGGGGGGGGGGGGGGGGGGGTGGGGGTGGGGGTAAAAGAAAAGAGGGGAAAAAAAGGGGGGGGGGGGAGCACTTTAAATAAGAATATCCTCAAAGGTCAGACTGTTAAATATCATAACGCCAATGGCTCTTTAAGTATTGGGGGGGGGGGGGGGGGGGGTTGGGGGGGGGGGGGGGGGACATGGTCACTCACAACAAACCATAAAAGAAAATTAGTAACCACGGAAATGAGATGTCTGAGAAGGGCTGTAGGGGTGACCATAAGGGGGGGGGGGGGGGGGGAGATCATAAAAGAACAATTCGGGGGGGAACCAATTCTGGATTACATACAAAGGGGGCAAGTGGGGGTTTGGGGGGGGGGGGAGGGGGGGGTTGTGGGGGGGGGGGGGGGGGGGGGGGGGGGGGGAAAGAGGGAGGGGGGGGTAGAGGGGGGGGTAGACCAAGAACAAGATGGGGGGGGGGGGGGGAGGGGGGGGGGGGGGGCACGATGTGGTATGGGGAGGGGGGGGGGGGGAGGGGGGGGGGGGGGGGGGGGGGGGGGGGGGACACCCACAGGGTAAAAGAGGGGGTGGGGGGGGGGAAGGGGAGGAAGGGGGGCTCTTTATGGGGGGGGTGGGGTTAAGGGGGGGGGGGGGGGGGGGGGGGGGGGGGGGGCAGAATATTAGTATACGATATTATTACACGTATATATAAACTCAATTGATAAATTGTTTTTGGGGGGGGGGGGGGGGGGGGGGGGGGGGAGGGGGGGTTCTAGATCCAAGGGGACAGGATGTGGGTACGTCACGGGGGGGTGTTTTTGGGGGGGGCGTCACGGGGGGTGGGGGGTCATGCAAGGTGTGTTCTAGGTCATCCCAATATATCTTATTCGGGGGGGGGGGTAAGTTCTGGGGGGGGCCAATGTCTGGGGGGGGTCACGCCAGATGAGTTCTGGGTCCTGGGGGGGGGGGGGTCTACGTCACGGGGGATGAGGGGGGGGGGGGGGGGGGGTCTGGTGTACGTCACGGGGGGATGTTTTCTGGGGGGGTACCAAGGGGGAGTTTTGGGTGGGGGGGGGGGGTGTGGTCTACGTGGGGGGGGGGTGTGTTCTGGGTGGGGTTTGTGGTGTGTTCTACGTGACCCCATGGTGTGGGGGGGGGGGGGGGCCAAGGGGGGGGGGGTCGAACCCAATACCATCAGGCCCACCTCAGTGACTCTCACCTAAGGTTTGCAAACACGGTTTAAAATCCCGAAAAAAAACTTTTTTCGGTTCTAGCTGCTGACGACTTAACAGCAGACCGTTTTGCGTTTTTTTTTTTCGGCTATGGTTTTAAAAAACAACTTTTCAGTTAGCAAAGGCATACTGCTGAATGTAAAAATTGCCTAGTAAAAACCACAAACAGCGGGGGGGGGGTTAAGATTGGTTTAGGGGGGGGGGGTAAAGAATACACAAATTACGTTCAAAAATAAACTGGGGGGGGGGGGGGGGGGGGGGGGGGGGGACTAATTTTGGGGGGGGGAAAGTATGTTCTCAGAGGGGGGGAGGGGGGGGGGGGGGGGGGGGGAAAAAAGGGGCAAGGAGGGGCTACAGGCTGGGGGGGGGGGGGGGTGGGGTCAATAAAAAGGGGGGGGGTGGGGGGGGTATGGGGGGGGGAAAAACCGGGGGGGGGAGCACACCCATAACAACACTGTGGGGGGGGGGGGGGCTTGGATGTTTTTGAAGGGGGGGGGGGGGTAAAATTTACATCTGTGGAATGGGGATGGGGGGGGGGGGGGGGCCAATTTAACCATCCTAGACAAAGTTAGAAATTTACTGTCAGACAGACTAAGGGAACGTTACAATACATCAGATTCATTGAGAAACAGCAGATAAAATGGTTTGGGGGGGGGGGGAGCGCCAACTTAACCATCCCAGGGGGGTGAGAAATTTACCATTAGGGGGACTGAGAGGGGGGGGGGGGGGGGGGGGGGGGGAGGGGGGCAGGGGGGGGGGTGGGTTTGGTCATCTCACTAAAATGCAGCCAACTTCCAAAACAGGTGCTACAAATGTAATGATCTGACGTGAATGCAAGAGATCCCCTCAGGAGAAGACTAGCTGATGACAGTAAATACTTCTACTTCGTGACGGGGGACAACAGGGGGGGGGGGGGGGGGGCAACGGATAATAAAGGGGGGGGGGGGGGACGCTTTACGGCACAAGGGGGGGGGATTACGATGGGAACAAGAATAATTGTTTTTGGGGGGGGGGGGGGGTGTGATGTAAAGTATGCAGAAAAATTCTTAGAATTCAGTGGATCAAGAAGAAGAAATACCTCGACATCCTGCGAGACATGAACATCAAGGAGAACTGGCTCATTAGCAGGTGGGGGGGGGGGGGGTTCCACATTTTGGACACTTCAAGCACTATAATGGTCTGGAGAGAACAGAAATGGAGGTGGGGGGGGGGGGGGGGGGATGCAGGGGGGGGGGGGGGGGGAATGTGGATTAGGACACGGAAGATGCCTGAGCTATCAAAGCACATAGGGCTTAGGAATTGGCTAGAGAAAATTACGTCTATGAGTGCCGTGAGGAGAGCGACGTTCTGAGAAGGTCATTCTGATTTACTGATATACTGATTGAAAGTAAAGGGAGCTGCGTGGTGTAGAGGCATTGTTTCGCCTCGAGTGCTAGAGGTTCCGGGTTCAATTTTGGGTAAAAGCTAGGATTTTTTCACGTGCACTTAGATTTCTAGTAATTCCCCTTGGCCTCTGGGTAGTGATATCAGACGCCAGTGTGCATTGTTTCTCACGGTAAAAGTCCCTTGGCAGTTGAAAATTGAAAAGAGTAGCCTAATGTCGCTGTTTGGGTAGAAGAAAAACGGAGACTTATGGGTTACTACCTGTGTGCCATGATGTTGATCGGTTGTTCAATCCTCAAATCTCTTGATTGAATGTAAAAATAACAATAATAACAATAACAATAATAATATCAGCTAAAAAAAGCGAGCTGCAAATAATCGTTCTCTGCCACGTCAGAACATCCTATAACCAGATCGAGTTTTCAAAAAGCCTGCACACAGATCGGCAACGGCGCCAGAGCTTGGACAAAAGCTATCGTCAATTCATCTAAGTGTTAGGGAGCTGCATGGTCTCGAGGCATGGTGTCCGCTCTAGTGATAGAGGTTCCGGGTTCAATCCCCGGTAAGGGCTGGAATTTTTTCACGTGGACTAGGACTTCTAGTAGTTTCAACCTGGTCTCTGGTTAGTGAGATCGGACGCCCGTGTGTATTGTTGCGCACGTAAAAAATCCATTGGCAGTTTTAAAATCGAAAAGAGTTACCTAACGGCGCTGCCCGGGCAAAATTTGGAGTTAAAAATCTTCCCAAAGTATTTCAGGATCTTCGCCGGTGCTACAGAGCATATGCACTGTGCTGAGCTTCTTCCGACTCAGACTTGAAGAAGAACGGAGCAGTTATGATTTGCTACCTGTGTGCAATGATGTTGATCCATTGTTCAAAACCTCAAAACCTGGTCTCAGTGTAGAAGATATTAGGTGTCATATTTTTTCTTCATTTTTCTTTACAATCACCAGTTTTTAACTCCAGCGGAAAGTTCTGATCGTTTGTTCACGTTGTGTTCCAGAGCTTGAATGTTGCGTGCACATCCGGTTTACATATTTAGCCTGTTTGTATACCAACTGTTGGTTTCTGCTTCTCAGGTAGATGCACTTCGAATACCCTAATTAATCAACTCTTACGACAGTGGGCCTATTCTTGTTTTTTTTCCCCCTATAACAAGGCCATAGAACCCACGGGGAGTTAATGTCATCAATCCATATTTGCTAAGTCGACCTCTTGATTTTATTTCAGATCTTATTATTAAAATCGTTGTTGTCATTATATTATTTTTGGGGGGGGGGGGTTATTACTATTATTATTACGGGGGGGGGGGGCAGATCTGGCTTTTAGGTGGGGGTTCTCCTAATAAAAATGTGTGAGTGGATTGAGACCATCCCATCCAATCACTTCCATCATCTACTTGTGTGTGTGAGTGTCTGTGTGTGTATGTGTGGGTGTGCGTGTATTTGTTTGTCTGTGAGTGTGTGTGTGCCTTTGTTTGTTTGTGTGTGTGCGTGTGTGTATATGCTTTTGTGTGGGTGTGAGTGTGTGTGTGAGTGTTTGTGTGTATGAGTGTATGTATGTGTGAGTGAGTGTGTGTATGTGTTAGTGTGTGTATATGTGTGTGAGAGTGTGTGAGTGTTTGTTTGTGTGGGTGCATAAGTGTGTATGCGTGAGAGTGTGTGTGCGTGTAAGTATAACTGTGTGTGATTTAGTGTGTGAGTATGTATGTATTTGTGAGTGCGTGTTTGTATGTGCGTGAGAGTCTATGTGAGTGTCTGTGTGTGCGTGTGTGTGTGAATGTGAGTGTATGAGAGTGTGTGTTGTGAGTATGTGGGTGTGAGTGTGTGCTTGTGTTGAGTGTGTGTGTAAGTGTGTATGTGTGTGAGTGAGTGAGTGTCTGTGTGTAAGTGTAAGGGAATGTGCGTTTGTGCGAGTGTGTGTGCATGAGTGTGCGAGTGTCTGTGTGCAAGTGTGACTGAGTGTGTGTGAACGTATGTGTGAGTGTGTGTGTAAGTGTGAGTGAGTGTGTGTGAATGTATGTGTGAGTATGTGTGTGTGTGTGTGGGAGTATGTTAGAGTGTGTGAGAGTGTGTGTGTGGGAAAGTGTGAGTGGAAGTATGAGTGTCTGTGTGTATATAAATGCGTATGTGTGTGTGTGTGTTTGTAGCAGAACGAAAAATCAAACGTCTTTGTACAGTAAAAAATTAATTTATACTTGTTGTTGTTGTTGTTGTTGTTGTTGTTACTAAAAGTGCTGACCAAATGTGAGCGCTGCTTGTAAAAAATGCCATACCTACCTTTACAGCCTACCTTTACAGTTCTGCTCACCTGTATGCCAGAAGTTGAATTCGTTTTTGCGCAATACTCTATAATGAAGATTGTGCTCAGGTGTTGTGGTTCCGTGCTACATACAGAGGGATTACGACAGTTAGGTGTAAACATTTCAAAGAGAGAGACAGAAGTGATATGATAATTGATTGTTTTTGATGAAATCTTGCTATAAAAATTGAATCCTTCACGTGTTATGAGGCAATGTAGATAACATCGGCAAAACATAAAGTTATATACCACCACCACAAAAATAGCTAATACAACTACTACTACTACCATTACTACTTCTACTATTACTACTACTACTACTACTACTACTACAACTTCTGCTATTACTACTGCTACTATTACTACTACTACTGTTGCTGCTGCTGCTGCTACGACTACTACTACTACCACTAATACCTCCACCACCACCACTACTACTACCACCACTATTACTACTACTACTACTACTAATTGCTGCTACTACTACTACCACTACTACTACTACTAGTAATAGTAATAATAATAACAGTAATAATAATAATATTAATAACAGCACGAAGAGTAAGAAGCTCTAAATTTATTATACTCTATCTTCAGTATTTCGAGCTTTTGAGGTTCTTCTTCTTCTTCTTCACTTCCTCTTTTACCGCTGTGGGTGTCGAGGGAGATATAAGGTTCTGTTTCTAGCTCTTCTGGCTGCCTCGACCATAGGCACATCGTGCTGTTGTAGAGTTTCTCTGATGTTATCCTTCCATCTTGTTTTTGGTATCAGTCCGTTTATATCTCAATTTGATTTTTGTAGCGGTAAAAAATCCATTGCCGGCTTGCTTGAAGAAGAAGAAGAAGCCCTCATGACGTTACTGATGAACGGTGAGCTTTCCTAAAGGAAAGTAAAATTAGGTGATTAAAAGTAACGTACAGAGAACTAAAACAAGGATAAGTAGGGTTTAAGGACAATTATCACATTGCTAGTCTATACAGGGTGTTGCCGTGGTTTAGCCGCTAGATAGTCGCCTGCGAATCAGAAGGTCGTGGTTTCAGGTCCTGACACGGGCCGGACTTTTTTTCCCTTCAAAACTGACCTTCCAGGTCGACCCAACCTTTGGTGGGTACCAGGTACAGTCCTGGGAAATAAAGGCGGCTGGCGTGATGCTAATTAAATAACCCACCAAGTGCTGTTTGGTCTATAAACTATAGGTCTAGCCCTATATGCCCAATTTGCCTGAAGGCATTGAAAAGGATCCTTTACTTTCACTTACTTTACTATTAGTGTATAAAGCAGGACAGTTCAACTAAATTTACTCACCGAGTCCAAGTATAGAAAAATCATTAGTACAATACAATTGGTAGATGATCCGCGGGCCACTAGCTAGATTTCTGCGCCCATATCTGGTCCCCGGGCCGCCAGTTGATTAGCCCCTGTATAAGTACATGCTGCTATAAATTCAAGGTACCTAAATTTAGCACGGTTAGGGTTAGCTTTAGGGTTGATGAGTGGCCTTGTCCGGATCGTTTCTTCAGGCATGCCGGTGTGTTGGGAAATGAACAGGCGAACAGACTGGCTGACTCAGCACAACTTGGTGCACTACCGACGCATGATAAGACAGAAGTGATCAAGGCCTAATGGGACCACATGTGCAGTTCGGAGGAGCAAATGGATCATGCTATTCTAGTGATAGTAATGGAGCGAGGAGTGACGAGGGGTTCTGGCTTATGCTCGACGTTAAGATTATAGGCAAGACGAACAGATTCTACAGTTGCCGTTGGTATTAGAATTCTACGCTGGCTGCTGAAGATCTGGTGGAGCGGGTATGTGATGTAATGTCGGCCCTTGAATAAGTTCAACTCAACGGGTAACGGATTACGGTTAGAGTTAGGCTAAGGGTTATCAAAATACACATTATATAACGAAAACCAAGATAAACCGCAAGAGAAAACACATTGATGTCAATTGATGTGTTTAGACTATCCCGCGAAATGCGGGCTTTCCTTTGTTTCGAGTGAATTAAAATTGAAGTACCGCATGTACTATCATAACAAGAGAATGCAGACAATAATGATATTACCGCATAGTGATACTGATATTTACTAATCGACGCAAAAAAGAACCTACTGCCTATTCTATTTCCATTTCGTATTTACATAGTTGTAAAATCTTTCAGAATGCTCTGGTTGTTTGTCCACTTCTGGACCTAATCTTATTCAAGGACTAAAGGATGTATCCCAGCGTTCGCAGGTTGTCACGATGTGTCCCAGCGATCCCCAGTTGTCACGATGTGTCCCAGCGTTCCCTAGTTGTCACGATGTGTCCCAGCGTCCTCCAGTTGTCACGATGTATCCCAGCGTTCCCCGGTTGTCACGATGTGTCCCAGCGTTCCCTAGTTGTCACGATGTGTCCCAGCGTTCCACTGTTGTCACTATGTGTCTCAGCGTTCCCCAGTTGTCACGATGTGTCCCAGCGTTCCCCAGTTGTCACGATGTGTCCCAGCGTTCCCTAGTTGTCACGATGTGTCCCAGCGTTCCCAGGTTGTCACGATGTGTCCCAGCGTTCCCCGGTTGTCACGATGTGTCCCAGCGTTTCCCGGTTGTCACGATGTGTCCCAGCGTTTCCCTCGGCATGTCAGTCTCCTTTCCACGCCAGGCATATAAAGCTAGACATGTGTCTGTGTTTTTTTTTACCAGTAAGCGCTCGCTTGGTGACGTACTGCTTTTACTTCCCACAACTTTACCTGCTACCCACTAAGACCTGAGAACCAAGTTCATTTTTAAAACAAAATTGGTTCCATCTGGACCTGAATCTACGACTTTCAGTTTCGCAGGCGAATATCCATCCCCTACACCACGGCTCCCCACCTACACCACCCCCCCCCCCTTTTTTTTTTCCTATGGGTACTTCAAACAAAACAAATGGAAAATGACTTCTTCGGTGCAGGCGATCAGTGTTTTTTATTAGTACATTTCTGTCTATTCACTTTCATTTTGACCGTTATCAGTCCATTTTCTTGTGTATTTGCGTTCCCCAGTTGTAAACTCCGGCGAAAAATCCATATTTGTTCGTCCATTTCCTGGAGGTTGGATTTGTTCCAAGCTCTGAGTTCTACGCGTGCATCAAATTTATAGGTCTAATTTTTTTTTTTAAATTAAATCTTACCCCAGATGACATCACAGGACATTCTAACATTTTAGAGGGTGGTAAGAATGGGTGCTTTCTGATTCTTTTATCGACCTCAAAGCATCTAGAACAGACCATAACCCTATACGTCCCACGAGAGAGTGCAGCCTAGGTCCCACGACTACATGCAGCCTATCGACAATCCCACGAAATATTATGCTGCACAGTGATCTGTGGATTTCCCCTGCTTGAGGTAGGATATTAATAAAGCCCCTTATTTGTATACACAGTGTTGGTTGCTTGCTTCTCATGCAGTCTGTCAATCAGCTAGGTGGCGTCTCCACGGTGAAAGTCAGCTGCAATAAATATTCAACACTGACTGTCTCTTGTCTTGGTCGTACTCTTTTTTAGACCGTCTTCTCTCTCTTGAAGTTGTTTCCCACTCGACTACGTAATAAAAGGGCTGATTGTAGATCCGCGAGAGCTGCAATCTGCTTTAGTTCAGACACCCGAACACAACCAAAAGAAACACAGGCCACTTCAAGTGTATTCCTGCGCACGTAGAGAAAGCAGCGCCCAAGTGTGACCTTTCTTTCTCCGTAACAGAAATATAAACACTGGAGAAAGCGTAGAGGGCATCAAACGGCATTCATATTGCAGATTTGGCAAAGGTCAAAGTGTGTCTTGGAAGCTTCCTTCTATCCAGGGAGGGACTCGTGTTGTCGGAAAGGTATTCTGTTTTATGTTGCACCTGTACTCTGCTCCAATCGGTGGGTATTTTCTAGTTGACATTCACTCTTGGGAGAAGGTCAAAGTTAGGAAGTGCTGTTATGCCTTTTTTTAGGGGGAATTTCTAAGTAGATGTTAAGAGTAGATAGTGCCAGTAGACGCAACAAGAAATGGCTAAGCTGAATAAGAAGATGGTAGGCATAGTTAGTACAAACTGTCACTGCTATAACTGTGGA